GGGGGGGGAGGCGGACGGCAGTACATGCGCCCCCCACGCATGCGTTTACAGGCGTGCGGGTCTGTGGGGCGTGCCGGTACGTGTCTAATATACCCACATGCATGCATACACATATGTATATATGTATATATATGCATGTATATGTATGTATGTATGCATGTATGGGTGTGTATATGCCGATACGTGCGGGTGTGTGTGGCTGCTGGTCCCTCTCTGTCTCTCCGCACCGCGCCGTGGTCTCGCGAAGGTGGGCGAAGCCGCGGCGGATGCACGGGAGGGGGAGAGACAAGGGGCGCCAGTGAGGAAAAGAAAAAAAAGGAAGAAGAAACGAAAAGGGAATGAACAAACAAACGAAGAGAGAGAGAAATGAATAAATGAACGAAAAACAAATGAAGAAAAAAGTCACGAATTGACGGCAAAAAAAAAAACAGGAGGAATTACTAAACGGGAGAGAGGCTGGGNAAAAGAAAAAAAAGGAAGAAGAAACGAAAAGGGAATGAACAAACAAACGAAGAGAGAGAGAAATGAATAAATGAACGAAAAACAAATGAAGAAAAAAGTCACGAATTGACGGCAAAAAAAAAACAGGAGGAATTACTAAACGGGAGAGAGGCTGGGTGTGGGAGGGGGAACGGGTAGGACGAGGAGAAGGCGGATGATGGCCGCAATCGTGTGGTGGGCGGGAGTGTCATGTGCATATGTGCCACTGTACTCTGTCGTGGAACGCGGCCTTTTCCGTGCATGCGGGGCGTGGTGGTGCTCAAGCCTCTTTCCGCTGCTTACTCTCGCTGATTCACCCTTTCTTTCTTTCTTTCTTTTTCCTCTCTCTCTCTCTCTCTCGCGCGCGCTTTTCACTCCATCTATCTGTCATTTTCCATGCAGTCGTTCAAAGCTGTTTTCTTTCTTGTGTGTCGATGCTCTGTTGTGCGCTTGTCTCTCCCCCTGCGTTTGCTGTGTGGGCGTCCGGTGCTCTATTGTCCCTCTTCTCCCTTTCACAGGGGGGCTCGCTTCCCTCTTTGCTGCTGCTGTCGTCGCCGCCTGTATGTTGTGCAACGGCGAGAATAAGTAACGAGAGATCATTATTGTGAAACAAAGGAATCCCCCCAACGACGTTGAGGCGCAGCGTTAGGCCAAGACGTGAGGGGAAAATCAACAAGGGAAAAAAAACGCTTTGATTTGTGTATTTATCGTAGTTAGCCGCGGGGGAGAAGGCGAATGGACGAGGCGTCTGCGCTGGTGGCATGGGGCAGACAGGTGCTCGCCAACAGGCGGCTGCAGAAACATCGCGAGCGACTTCAACGCGAGAAGCAGCACGCCGACGCCGCCACAGCGCAGCTGCTACGAGGCCACACCACCGTCGACAGCACCGAGATGTCCTGGGCGTCAAGTGGTTGCCGCGAGGTCGCAGCGCAGTCGATCGTTGACGAGGCTCTTCTTCAGCCGAGCAGCGGTGAGAAGGGCATGGGACCGACCCCAACAGCGAGGAGCACCGCGCCGCCACGCATGGGCTGCGTGGTGCAGTCGAGAAGTAGAGGAGGAGAGGGTGAAGGAGGCGTCGCGCAGCTTAAGCGACGCGTCGGGGCGGCGAAGTTGTGTGTGCAGGAGTTGCAGGACTTGCAGAAGCGCAACGAAGAGGCGTTTCTGCGGCGCCAGGGAGAACTGCGGAGTATGGTAGAGGAGAGCAACCGCGGGTGTACCCGTTACGTGGGCCCTGTGCCGCATGCCGCTGCCACCGCTGCTGGTCATAATGGCGTTCGCACCGCCACACCGTCACAACCAGCAATGGCGGTCTCCTCGCCACGCCAGAAGCTGGGCCTCAGGGAGCAGTTCGACGAGCTCTGCGCTCTCCAGAATGCGTTGCAAAAGAGCCAACACGAAGAGGAGGTGGGAGGTGCAGCAGTGGCGGTTCTTACAGCTTGTGCGGGCACCGTGCACAAGTGGGATGATCTTCTTTGGCAGCAGCTGCGTGAGGCATTCCATGGGTGGCGGTTGCGCCTGCTGCCGTCCCTTCGCCGTTTTCGCGACCTTGTGGAAGAGCTGCCGGCGTTGCTGCTGCAGTTCCACGATATTCCCTCGCAGAGCTCGCCACTGCCACAACACAACGCCAATTCTAGGGTAGGCCACAACGCGGCGCTGGCCGCCACTTCCCAAGTGACGGCTGGCAGCGGCAGGGATGCTACGACTTCTGGGGTGGAGGGCCATGCGGACAGCAGCCTGCCCACTCACAGCAGAAGGAGTGTGGTGTTGCCTGCAGCAGAGGAATACCCCGCTCTGGAGTGGCTAGAAGCGTTGCCCGTGGAAGAGTCAATCGACGTTGTGCTGGATGCACTCGCTAGGGCGGGTGCCGAGACTGCCAAGAGTTTATTGTCGCTGATCGAGCTGTCGGACCAGAAAGAGGCGCAGCTAACGGGTCTCCTTGCAGAGGCGGAGAGACAGTTGCAGTCCCAGGACGCTGCACTCGATCATGCACGTGAATTGCTAGAGAAGCTACAGGAAGAAAAGACAAGATGGGAGGCTGACGGAGCCATCCTCAGCGATGCAGTGGAGCCGCTTCAGGAGAGAGTGCTGGCGATGAAGTTGGAGCGCGAGCAACAACAGGCGGAGGAGCGGGAGTTGGCGGCGGAGCTTAGGGGCCTTCATATCCGTGTGAGTGAAGCGAAGGAAAGCCTGTATCGGGAGGTCGCATTGCGCGGCGAAGCGTTGCGACAGGCCGAGGGGTCGCGACAGCGTGCAGACGCGGCGACGCAGGAGAAGGAGTTGCTGGAGGGGGGCGAAATGCAGCAGCTGAAAGAGCAGCAAAGGGCCGCCGAGGACGACGTGCTGCGTGTGCGCCGCGTTGCGCGTGTTGCGAGGGAGGAAGAGGAGGACGCGGCGGAGTTGCGGCGGCGGCACTGCGATGAGTTCCGCGTCGCGCAGGCAGCCCTCCAAGCCGCAACAAGTGCGCTCGTGCGGCATAAGCAGCAGCACGAGGAGGGGCAGGCGGAGCTCGTGTCGCTCCGCTGCCGCGCGCACGAGCTCCAGGCCCAGATCGCCGCCACGGAAGAGGGGTGCAAGGGCCTGACTGCTGAGCTGGAAGTGCAGCGCGGTGTGGAGGCAGACGTGAGTGACGAGCTCGCACGCGTACGCGCAGAGATAATGGCGCAACAGAAGGAGA